TAAGAGAGAAAATAAACAGAAAAATAAAATAAATGGTACAGTACAGCAGTTGGTAATAAGTGCTATTATATGTTATGGGTAAAGTAAAGTGGGGAAGGGGAAAAACACAATTAGGAAGGAGAAGTGGCAGCGTGTTGGCCATGGTAAGTGTACTGGTCAGAGAAACCTTCGTTTGACGTTTAAGTAAATCAGGTACGCTAGTAAGCCATGGGAATCGCTGAGGAAGGAATACCCAGAAAGAAGGAAAAGCAGGTGTAAAGATGTGTAGAAAAAAGGACTCTCGCACAGGTAGAAAGGCAGCAAGTAGACCAATCTGGTGAGAGGGAAGCAAACAAGACGTTGTGTAATGGGAAACCATGACAGAGAGGTGGATGGGGACACTTTCTGTACGGGATGCTCAGGCCACTCCAGAACACAGCTTTTTTTTTTTTTTTTTTTTTTTTGAGATGAAGCCTCACTCTGTTGCCCAGGCTGGAGTGCAGTGGCAAGGTCTTGGCTCACTGCAACCTCTACCTCCAAGGTTCAAGTGATTCTCCTGCCTCAGTAGCTGGGATTGCAGATGCCCACCACTACACCCCGTTAATTGTTTGTATTTTTAGGAGAGACAGCGTTTCACCATGTTGGCCAGCTGGTGTCCAACTCCTGACCTCAAGCGATCTGCCCGCTTCAGTGTCCCAAAGTGCTGGGATTACAGGGGGAGCCACCATACCCAGGCGACATAGCTTTAACTCTGAGCAAGATGGAAAGCCAGGGGAAGGTGTGCGTGGAGGAGTGACACGATCTGACTTACACTTTAAAATTACCCCTCAAGTGGCCACACTGAGAATACACCACAGGATTAAAAAACAAAAAGCACAGCGCTAGCTCAGACCACTGGAGTAATCCAGGGAAGAGGCGGTTTAGACTTGAATCAGTGTAATGAGGACAGAGGTGACTGAGTCAAGACATGAGCAGATTTTGCAAGTGGAATCAAAGAGGTTTGATAACTGAATGGAAGGGGGCCAGGAAATATTTTTTCATGGGGGCAAAGAAACAGTCTGTTAACAAAGCCAAAATTACTTCCTATCTGCAAGTACAGAAAAACCACAATGGGATAGCCCGAGATTATTATTTACTTTTTTGTCCTTAAATATGTGATAAGTTAATATAATAAAAGACTCTCATAACATTCTGAACTCAAAGATATTGAATTACTTTTTTCATAAGATTTCTATAACCATGTATGTTACAAATGGAAAAATCTATTATCTTTTCAAGTATATTTTAGCTACATTACAAAAGACATGATTTCAATTTATCATAACATTATAATATTGTTTTCTATGAGCATTTGATAAATGTTTTTCAAAGCCTCTTCCTCAAGTCATAAGACATTAATTATTAGATCCCCATTTCCTCTAACTAAAAATTCAGATTGATAAGACTACTTAAACAAATACAATATGGCAGTCTAATTAGAGCATCAATACTATATCCAAATTTAGATCACCAAGGAGATACAGACTTTCGATGATAACATCTTTCAGTACTGTTTGTAATTTGGATACTTGATTTATTTCAAAGGTATCTGTTGACTAAGTTAACTGATAGCCACCTCTGCATCAATTTTGAGATGCAGACATGCAATCAGCAGCTCCGTATGAGACACTCTGGGTGGCACACTCTAATTTCGTTGTCTCTATATATCTAAAATTGCCCATATACTCTCTGGCAAGCTATTACTTTATCTACAGTATTCAGAACTTCTTAGAACAGTTCTAAATCCTATCCTTCAAAACAATTCCTTGAACTTTTTGGCAAAATAATTTTTATTCAAAAGCCTATTTATTTACTGTGTTTATTATACCTTTCCTTTTATGATATTGTTTCCTTAGACAATTAATCCTAATTCATTCTTTCCTCTCTCTGACCACTATATTGACTTTAATTTTACATGATTAAATTATTCAATTCTAAGTGCAGCTATCCTGGAAATTAATAAACTTATTTTACAGAGTATTTCCAATGAAAATAATTCTGTTTAAAACTGTAGTGTGTGTGCATGTGTGTGTAGTCTTGTCAGGAGCATTCAAACTTTATATTTCCTTTCTTGTTTCTGACCTTCCATTTTCAATATCCTTTGCCTCTCACTGGATTGTGAATGTGCCCTTTCCCTACGTCTGAAAATCTTTCAACCTTCACCATTCATTCTAAGAATCAGCAGTATGTTACGTTTTTATAGAACCTTTCTTCCAGGGAACAGAGAGTGTTTCATATATATTACCACATTCATCCTTAAAATTTCTCTCACAACACCCATAGCCCTGGCTAAACTATGCCTCAGTTGAAACCTCAATCTGTATCTTTAGTTCTTTCTTCCTTGACTGCCTTTCCTACAAACTCTGTAAATCACATTTTTAGAATCCTGCATCTGTAGAAAATATGCATAATTCTATCATTCAGGTGACCTTTCTTTCTAACCCTGTCCTCAGAATACACCATTTCTATTTCAAACATTTGCCACAGGCTGCCTAGTAGGTGTTAGGTTACTAACATCTTACTACCTACTTCTCTCTGTACCTTCTTTTTCCTTCATGTTAGTGAAATAATCCGACTTGATAACATTCTGTGATTACCTCCTTTTTTAACCACATCACTTAAATTTTCTCTAAAGGACATTTGTGTCCCTTTTACACTTGATCTTAGCCAAAAGGCTGAGAAGTGATATCATGTTTTAAATTTTATTTTTAATGATCAGATGAAACTTATGTATTAAACTAGTTTCCACAGAAGTAAGAGGTAACATGTCTTAATTTTTCCCATGTAGCGATCACTTTGATAAATGCTTAGATGGTACCTCATTTAATACTTACTGTAATAGGTATAAGAACTGAATCCTATTTTCTACATGTTACTGGTAGAAAAATAAAGTTTTTAAAGGTGAAGTATCTGGCACAAGAATGTACATAGTGTGTAGCTGAACTCAGGCTTTGACTTAAATAGCCAAAGCACATCTCTATTTGTCATACCACATTTTCTCTAAACAATCACCATAAATTGAGAGTTTAAAAAAACTGCCATATTACTTTTTCTCAGAATTCACCAATTGCCTATAAAAAAACATTGTATTTGGGGACTTAGTTTTAGATTTGAACCGGTTCAGAAAAGCAGTCTAAAATCTGTTTACTTGTATGAGACAATCACAACTCATATGTTTTAAAAAAAGACTTAAAAGTAAGCCATTGCCTCTAATCAGAATTAAAATAATTCATTACCTTCAATATGCATTTTAAAATGAAATCAAAATTATTACAGAGAACTTAAGAGGTAAGAGCTATTATTCTATAGAGGATTTTTTTTTCCCTGAGCTACTGAGTGCCCCATTTTGTTTTTGTTTTGTTTTGGTTAATGAAATGGCATACTTTTACAATCATGTATCAATTTACAAAAGGGATGCATTCTGAGAAATACGTCATTAGGTGATTTCAATGTATGAACATCATAGAGTTAACTTACAAACCTAAGAGGCGTAGCCTACTGCACATCTAGGAAATATGGTATAGCCCATTGCTCCTAGGCGGTAAGCCTGTACGGCGTGTTACTGTACTGAATACTACAGGCAATTTAACATAGTAAGTAAGAAGCTGTATATCTAAACATACCTAACTGTAAGAAAGACGTAGTAAGATTGGAAAATACTATAATCTTACAGGACCACTGTCATGTATGTGGTTCATTATTGACTGTAATGTCATGAGGAGGCACAGGACTGTATTCATGAAAGCTAGTCTGTTACATACAGCCTAATTTATTACACAGTACCACCGTTTCCCTTTGATTTATTAATTCTGAGAAACTGATCAAAATTTCTATGTGTATGTTTCTTCTCACGAAGTTTATTTCTCTTTAGTCACTGTGTGTAACACCCCAGGGACATTAAGTACAGAGATAACTGAGGCAAAAGGAAAATTAATAACCTAACTTTCGGGATTATTTGCAAAAGCTAACAATTATGCTAAATATTTTTCTTTATAGATGTATCACATTTCAAATACTACATATATAACATATATTTAACAGAGTTTAGTAAAATGCCAAATAAACTACTTAGTAAAGGAATATATTTCTTCATGCAATAATACTTAAATCATATCACTGCATTTCAGGATATGTGAGATAGCAAACAGTTAATTATTTGAACTAAAATCCAAAGGTCCAGAGTTAAAATATGACAATCTATTTACATTTTGATATGTCAGTGTTACAGCATAGACAATAAAACATATTTAATAAATTAATCATTAAGGCACCTAGATCATAAACTAGGATGTGCATTGAAGATGGTCTCAGTGCAACAGCTGATGTTTCATCGATACAGGAAAGGCTCAAATAATCTGGACAGATGAAGTGGTTGTGTAACATTTCCCTCTTTCCCCAGTTCATCTGTCCAATTTTAGGACCATTTATTTAAAAAAGAGACCATTCTTTGATAATTCCCCTTCAATGTCTACTTGTCTTGATAAAGATGTTTATATATTAAAAGTTATGTCTTAATTAGCTGAAATCATAAAATAATAATATGTAGCTTTTAAGTATTTTAAGTGTCTTCCAGATAAGCTTTGAATCATTGAAACGAAAGTCTATAATCCACGTAGATGTGAAACTAAAGAGAAATTTCCTATGCAAATAGTTATACCATATGAAAGCCATGCAAATACTGCCTTCAGAAGAAAAATAAAGGCTTGTTTTATTTTTTTCCCCACAAACTGAGCTACTTTATCAGAGCACACTTGCAAACTAAGGATTTACATATTTTTGACTGAAAAAAATTTGCATATCACATGTATGTGACTTCACAATGTGAACAATTTTAGGACACTGACACAAATAGGTGCTAGATCATTAAAGAAAAGAGACAGTCAGAGTTGCTATTAAATTTATTACACATTTGATAGAAACACCACCAAAATTCTTCAAATTAAAACTAAAATCTAAATATCTTGATTATGGAATGGATTCAATGGTGTTTAGATATTAAACTTAACCTCAAAAACAATGTGGTTATATGAAGATTGTGTAGAAAAGAAAAATATATGGTAGGAAGGCATGTTAATATAGAAAAGTTACCACTTGGAAAACAATTTATCTGAAAGAAGCACAGACCCTTTCGTCCGTCCTGTGAACAAAGAAGGAATCAAGAGAGCAAGGACAGTGATTTCCCCTGCACTGCATCTGTGTGAGTATAAAGAGACTCAAAGTTTATTATATAAACGAACTTGTTACAAAGATGAAATTGATGACATTTAGAGATAAACATGCCAAATATTAGATCCTATTCATCAAACTCAGTGAGTGTGGAATCGTAAAAAGAAAAACTTTTACTAGCTATTCATTTGGAAACATTTGCACAAAATAATATATTATCACAGATTGTCAGAGAACTGACACTTTGCCAACTAGTCTGATTCAAATTTGTAAAAAAGATGAGCAAAGGACATCAGACTCCACAGGAGGGGAGAAAAAAAAAGACAAGACAGGATTATAGGATCCATAGAATTTTACAGCTAGAAGGAATGTAAAAAAAAAAAATCTATCTCATACTTTTCTTATATCCTTTTAGAAAAGCAACTAGAACAAGTAATAATAACATCTTTCTCAAGGACACACAGTTAGCAGGTGGCCAATTACCTTACCTGAAAGTAATGAATTATATAAATAAAGAAAATGTGAGAAAGATACTATATACAGCATACAAAAGCACATTTAATATAATATTACTACTTTTATATCTTTACTTATATATGGTTCAAATGACTTGAGTAGAACTTGATAGGATAAAAGTACTACTTCTAGTGTTTAAAGTTCTAAAGATATATTTCAGTTAGTACTTTCACTATTCTTCAAATTTTATTCTTAAAATAACTTTGAAAAATGCATCTTCATACCACTCCAAGTAAAATTATGTCTTATTATAACATATTAAGCTCTTTAAAATTAGTTTATATAATTTTAATTTGTAATTTAGTAAAATTTTTAGACAACATGTGCATTCACAACTCAAGATGAAATGGCTTGCATTGTTTTGGGATTTACTAGTACATGTATCATAGCAGTGTGTGTGTGTGTGTGTGTGTGTGTGTGTGTGTGTGTATACATATATACATATGATAACATATAGTGGTTTGTAACATGCCCTAAAATTTATGACAACAAATTCTGCCAACCCTTTCCCCTGCTTTCTAAAATTTACTATAGTCTAAAATATAAATAAATATTAATATATTCATCATATAATTGCCTTTTTAAGAAATCAATACCCTGTTATTTTTAGACAATATCGAAATATGCCTTATCTAAAAAAACCTAGTCATTAAACTTAGAAATGTCAAGTATGCCTGTGAATTTGTTAAGGGAACACTACAATTTTCTATTTGACTTGAAAATAAATCAAGCAGCCACAGCATTCTCAAAGTAACACTATTAATTACTTCTGCTAATTGCCTCTGAGCAATTGGGAAAGACGTAAAGCAGTCTCCTCTGGTTTGATTTGAAGGACATCAGAGGATCTCACCCCATTAGACTGCCTCTAACATTCACCCTCCTTGGGGCTGGGCTCTATCCCTCCCACAACAGCAAAATCTGTCAGAAGTTTTATGCTGAGCTCAACTCTCTGTTCTGGCCCTTCTGCAATGTTTTCATCTCCCAAGATTTATCTTCTAGCAGGAAAACAGGGAGAAAGAATGTCTTAAAGGAGATATTCCTAGGTCTGATATCATTTACTTCTTATTTTTGGCTTAGTCTATCTTTATTGATGGATTTTATCATTGAGGAGCCATTCTAGTACTTAAAATGATATTGATTAATCATCACACTCATCACTGCTCAAGCTTAGAGACAAAAATATCAAGTGAAAGCTTAAAAACTTTTTATTCAACAATTTTTCAGAAAATAACACTTCCAAGAACTATTGCCAATCCATGTCATTATCACCATAAAAACCAGCTGCTAATTTTTACTTAGATGTAAATGAAAAATGGGAATAATTTTATGTGGTCACGGTGTCCATCTGTAAACCAATTTAACCAATAAACAAAAAGAAAGGCAGAGTTAAATCCATGTTAAGAGTTCAAGACTGGGTGTGGTGGCTCATGCCCATAATTGTAGCACTTGGAGAGGCCAGAATGGGAAGATTATTTGAGGCCAGGAATTCAAGACCAGCCTGGGCAAATCAGCAAGGTTCCCTCTCCACCCGTATCCCTATAAAAAATAATTTTAAAATTAGCCTGGTGTTCACACTAGTAATCCTTGCCACATGGGAGGCTGAGGAGGGAAGGGTCACTTGCCCAGGAGTTCAAGGCAGCAGTGAGCTATGATTGTATCACTGCACTTCTGTCACTGGGTGACAGAACAGAAACCTTTATCTAAAAATCCAACAAATAATGCAATAAGCTTTTAACATGAGAATCCTTTCCAACTTTTTTATATCAATTGTTTCAAAATGTTTGTTTTCTTGGAAAATTAATCCTTTAACCTACATGTAAATATATATAGGTATGTGTATAAAATGTATATATTTTCTTCTGCTGCCTTAGATTATCTAAAAATAAGAAAACAAGCAAATAAAAATTGATATTTGGGAAGAATTTTACATGCTCTTTGCTAAGGTTATGTATGCAATTTTCCAAAGTAAGATAAATACCTGAGTAATCAAGCTACCTTATCTCTATATTTTTAAAACAATAATAGATTCATTGAAATCAGACACTGGTTAATTATAAAAAAAAAAAAAAGAGCTTTAAAGGATGACCAATATTAAGTCAACTTCTGAATCTGCCAGTTTTCAGTTGTGATTATTTAGGCTATATTTCTGATTTTTTTAAAGGTCGTTTTAGTTACTACATAAGGCACCTAAGTGGATAAAATTAATTTTTTGGACATAAAACTTCTGCTACAATGTGTACTACGTAGATGTTTAATAATTGATGGTTCTCTTTCCTCTATGTGCCTGCCATTCGACTGGTTCTAATCCCAGCTGTGCAATTCTGATAAGATTATTCAACTCTTCCTGCCTCTGTTTCTTCATCTAAAAATGGGGACCAAAAAAAAAGGGAGGTGAAGGATACTCAGTTGTGTTTTACCTGTGGTTGCTGGAAGGCAGAAGCCTTTGGGTAAAGAGAAAAGATGATGGGTGCACACGGTGAAGTATATTATAGCAATTAGAAGCAAAGGCCACGAAGCAATATGGATAATCTTTTTAAAACAACAATACCAGATGAAAGAAATTAAGAAACAGAAGGGTAACAACACACACTGGGGGCTTTCAGAGGATTGAGGGTTGGAGGAGAAACAGAGTCAGGAAAAATAATTAATGGGTACTAGGCTTATATCTGGGTGATGGGCAGGCACAGTGGCTCATGCCTGTAATCCCAGTACTTTGGGAGGCCAAAGAAGGTGGATCACGAGGTCAGGGGTTCAAGACCAGCCTGGACAAGATGGTCAAACCCCATCTCTACTAAAATTACAAAAATTAGCTGGGCGCAGTGGCAAGTGTCTGTAATCCCAGCTACTTGGGGGGCTGAGGCAGGAGAATTGCTTGAACTCTGCAGGTGGAAGTTGCAGTGAGCTGAGATCGCACCACTGCACTTCAGCGTAGTGACAGAGCAAGACTCCATCTCAAAAACAAAACAGAACGGAACAAAAAAAACTCGGTGATGAAATAATCTGTTCAACAAACCCCATGACACAAGTTTACCTATGCAACAAACTTGCGCTTGTACCCCTGAACTTAAAAGTTAAAAAGAAGCAAAATGAAATACATCACACAATGACATTTTTTAAATTAAAATACATGCATAAAATAGCAATATACCTTTTGCAACAATATTGGCACACAAGATATTGAACATCACAAATGTGGCACTGGAGGTGGAGAATCAGAGCACCTCAGATAGGAGAAACTCAATAAATGCTAATTCTGTAACACAGACAATGTAAAATGTAAAGGAATGTCTATGTGTATGTGTGACACTGTGTTGTAATAAGCTCTCCATGCTTTCCTGGTAAGAAAACACATTCAATCTAAAGCAGGCCTACCAGTGATGTAGCTGAAACCTTGCTTGAACATGACTTTTATCATTTACTGTGTTATTAATTTAACTTCCTACTGCTACATTAGTAGTTTCAGAAAAAAAATAAAACAGAATAAGAAATAACATGAGAAGAAACAAAGCAAATTTAGAATTAGCTAATTGACTAAAAATATTTTGAAATTTTTTCAGCTTGGCTAACCTTAAATTAACATTTGTACCCTTTTATGTCTGGCCAAGAACAACAAGAAAAGACTCTAAAGCTTAATTATAATGCTTAAGGATTTACAGAATGTTGAATCCCCATGTCATTTATAAACCTTGCAATTAGCATATTTTTAAGGATTGACTGTATAACAGGGAATATTATAATGACTCTTATGTTTTTAATTCATCTAATTAAACATCTGTTTTTGAATTTGAATTTTCAGTTTAATGAAGAAAAATCCTAATATTTAAATTCTAAAGCTAAAGCTTCATACCTTTAAAATACATATATTAAAAGCTATTAATAAAATTAGGTCAATATTCATGACAAAATTACCCTTTTATGTTAGATTTAGATTTCTATTCAACCCCATTTTTTCTAATAAGCACTTCTTTAGAAACTGAAAGAATAATACACCTTGAAGAAATAAACTCTTTAAAACTGTCCATCAACTAATGAAACCGCCAATTTAATTACTTTTCTCAATCTCCAGAATATAATATGATCTAATTTATAATTAATGTTATGACAACTGCCTAATAAACTTAAAACGATTTGACATTAGGGCTGAATTTTCATTGGAACTGGTGGAAAGTTTTATAACTTGGGGATTTTCTAATCCCCAGGCATACTGATGAAATCTATCTCTAATATAAAATCATCCTGATCCTTGCTGTTTTCTGATTATAACTTTAGACACCAAACACTACAAAAGTAAATAAATTAAAAACTTACTGACACTTCATATAAAGGAGCTAATTCTTATTGATTTTGTATTCATGCCATTTTTACTTTTGTATGAATGATTTGTACATAAATATAACATGAGCATGATAAAGGATGTACCATATGGATGTACAATTAGCGTATATCAAATTCTTTTCTCACTAACCTGACATAGTCACACTTTAATGTATTCAAAAGAGACCTGACCTGAAAAGA